ATGGGTGGCGGGCGGGTCGCGAGGGGTGGGTCGCGGGTGAGTCGCCGCGCTGCGCCCGCCCGTCCTCGCCCCCACTCTTATCCGCACTTGCGGGGTGCTACAATCATTGCCACCCCTGCCGCACCTGCCTACTGACCTCCCGCGCAGCCCTGCCCCTGCCCCCCCTTCCCCCCCCTCGCATCCCGCCGTGCTCGACGGCCCCGGCGACGCCGAGCTCGTTGGACTCGGCCTGTCACGAACACTCTCTGTCTGCAGCTGCCCCTCCTCCACTGGCCCCCCCATCCACCTCCACTTGGCTCGAGAGTTTTCTCTTCCGAAGCCCTGCGGGCCCTGCTGGTGCGCGCGCTCACTTCTACGGAGGCGTCTTCGTCGTCGTCGTCGTCGTCGCCGTCGCCGTCGTCGTCGTCGTCGTCGTCGTCGTCGTCCTCGTCCTCGTCCTCGTCCTCGTCCTCGTCCTTGTCGTCGTCTTCGTTGCCGCCGCCGCCGCCGCCGTCGTCGTCGTCGCCGTCGTCGTCGTCGTCGTCGTCGTCGTTGTCGTCGTCCTCGTCCTCGTCCTCGTCGTCGTCTTCGTTGCCGCCGCCGCCGCCGTCGTCGTCGTCGTCGTCGCCGCCGCTGCCATCGTCGTCGTCGTCTTCGTTGCCGTCGTCGTCATCGTCGCCGCCGCCGCCGTCTTCGTCGTCGTCGTCGCGACGAGGCCCATGCCCCGAAAGCGTGGTCGCTCCAGAAGCGACCGCGCTATGCGTTCTACGACGTGAAGCTCTGCGTGGATTACATCGTGGAGAGGCTGTCGACCTTGGTGAAGCAGCGGGTCCAGAACGGCGAGGACTTGGTCCGCGCGCCGAAGCGAGACGGGCCCCTGCAGCTCGCGCCGACGATCAAGGACGTAGAGCACAATATGGATCTGATTGCGCTTGTCTTGGACGTGAGCCCCAGGATGACGCCGTCGCAGTTCTATTTGTGCGATGTGATTCACATCACCCACCAGCGTTTCGACGAGCCCACAGCGCCCGAGCGCGCGTTGGAGCAGGGGCTCTTCCTCCACCGCATGATCGCCAGGACTCAGGGCAGGACGAGGAGGAGCAGGAGGGGCAGGTGGAGGAGGGGGGGAGGAGGAGGAGGAGGAGGAGGAGGAGGGAGGAGGAGGAGGAGGAGGAGGGGGTGGAGGAGGAGGAGGAGGAGGAGGAGGAGGGGGAAACAGCAAGAGGAAAGTCCGCCGCCACCTCCACACACGCACACACCTTTCTCCTCCTACCTCGTTCCCCCCTCCACCCACCACCTCCCGCCATCGTTCCCCCCTCCTCGTCCTCCTCCTCCTCTCCTCCTCCTCCTCCCCCTCCCTCCTCCTCCTCCTCCGCCTCCTCCTCCTCCCACTCCTCCACCCTCTCCCTCATCAACCTCCTCCCTCCTGGTCCTCGCCCCCGCGCCCCCCTAGGCTGCGACGCCTCTTCGGCCGCGCGCAGAAGTCCAAGAGCAAGGTCATTGGCATGCTGAAGCAGAAAATGCAGAAGGCGCCGTTCCACGACCAGCCAGAGGCGGAGACATTGGAGCCGCTGGATATCGAGCAAGTCGAGCTTTCCGACGAGGACTTTGTCTGCATTCCCCATTTCTTCCCCCAATTATTCCCTCCTCTTCCTCCCCTCCTCCTCCTCCTCCCCCTCCCTCCTCCTCCTCCCTCCTCCTCTCCATTCCTCTTCGTGGCATCCCCTCCCTTCTGCCCAAATCCTCCTCCTCCTCCTCCACCTCCTCTGCCTCCTCCTCCTCCCCCTCCTCCCCCCTCCCCCCCCCCTCCTTTCCGGGGGGGGGAGGGGGGGGCGCCGCCGACGACGACGACGACGTCGACGACAGCAACGACGGCTACGACCCCGAGGGGGTCGAGGGCGCGATCGTTGCGGCGTTGCAGTCGCCGAGCGTGGACTTCCAGATCGGCGACCTCCCAGGCGCTCACCAGATCGACGATCTCGGCGACGACGACGTCCCGATCGCTGACCAGAGCGTCGACCTCGCGGGCGCCGACCAGATCGACGACGACCTCCAAGACGATGACCAGATCGACGACCTCGCGGGCGCCGTGCAGATCGACGGCCTCGCGGGCGCTGAGCAGATCGACGACGACCTCCCAGCCGATGACCAGATCGACGACCCCGCGGGCGCTGAGCAGATCGACGACCTCGCGGGCGCTGAGCAGATCAACGACGACCTCCCGGCCGATGACCAGATCGACGACGACCTCCCGGCCGAGATCGACGGCACGACCTCCGTGGACAGCGAGGGCGAGGACCGCAAGAGCGGCCATGGCGAGAACGACGAGGAGGAGGATCTCCTTTGCTCTCGTCTCCTGCGCCTCCTCCTCCTCCCCCTTCCCTGCCCTGGCCCTCCGCTGTTCCCTCTACTGCTGCTGCTCTTTCTCCTCCTCGTTGCTACTGATGCTGCTGTTCCCCCTGCTGCTGCTGCTGCTGATGCTGCTGTTCCTCTTGCTGGTGCTGCTGTTCCCCCGTCTGCTGCTGCTATTGCTGCCGCTGCTGGCCCTCATGCCCCTCTTAACGCCCCGCTCGCAACCCCCCCCCATCTCCCTGGCGTCGCTCGCCTGGGCATTGCTGAGCTCGAGGGCGGCAAAACCTAGCGCCCCGGGCAGGGGGGGGGATGGTCAGGCCAGGTCAGGTTAGGCAGTCCGCGAAATCTCGTCGGGTGAGAAAGCTTCCTGGGAAGCCCCAGCCCAGCGCAGGAGGAGGAGGAGGAGGAGGGGGAGGAGGAGGAGGAGGAGGAGGGCGAGGAGGAGGGGGGAGGAGGAGGAGGAGGAGGAGGAGGAGGAGGAGGAGGAGGAGGAGGAGAGGGGGGAAGGGGGAGGTGGAGGAGGAGGAAGAGGAACGCCAAGCTGTTGTCAGAACCAACAAAACCAGGAAGATGAGGGGCAGAAGGAGGAGGAGGAGGATGATGAGGAGGAGGAGGAAGAGGAAGAGGAAGTGGAGGACGACGACGACGATGAGAGGCCAGTGGGGAGGAGGAGGGCGGGGAGTAGGAATGCGAGGATTTGTAGATTGCGTTGCTTTGCGATTCCTAGGAACCACTCATCTGCATCTCCGACGACGACGCTGAGTGCGGCGACCAGCGGTGGAGCCAGACCCTCGCGATCCTCGGCATGGGCAGCGCGCAGGTTGAGGACATCAGGACAGAGATGAGCGAGAATATGAGCATGATGAAACATACCCCTCGGAGCGACCGCCCCGACTTTCTGCCTGAGATAATCCAGCATTTGACCGACCGTCCCATCGGACAAGTTGATGATTCAAAACGGCTTCGCAAGCGCACCAGCAAAGGAGAGGTAAAGGTAAGCGCGCAATGTGCGCGCGCAAAGAGAAGCCGAAGCGAAAGGCAGGCTGCAGTGTGAAAGAGCGCCGACTGCACAAGATCGCGAAGACGGCGGCTGCCAGCCAGCACGCTGCGGGCATTCCGGGGGGCGCGGGCGCCATCGAGGGCTGCGAGTTCGCCGAGACGCCGCCTCGCGCCGAGGGGGCCCGCGGCAAGGGCAAGGGCGATGCGCCTTCCACCGAGCCCAAGAAGCCCAAGGCCAAGGACAAGACCGCGGCGGCCAAGGCGCCCAGGGCGCCCAAGGCCAAGGCCAGGGCCGAGGCCAGCGGCGGAGGCGGGTCGTCCGCTGGCGAGTCCTGTCAGCCCATCCCTGATGACATGCCCGAGGGCGCGAAGCCGCTCTCGGGCATCAAGACAGGCAAGAAGAGCTACACCATCAGGAGCACCACTGGCGCGAAGATCGAGGTCAACATCGCCAAGGCCCATTTCCGCTGCATGGGGGTCGCCACCACCTTTGAGAACCAGTCGGTCGGGGAGAAGCCGAACGTGTACTGGAAGGCGTCGGGGTCCATCCAGAAGGCGTGGGAGATCGTGACCAAGCGCGTGGGCTGGTACCCATAGGCTGTCGCGGGGCTTCGGGCGGGGCGCAGGCCTCGCAGGCGTTTCAACGTTGAGTTAGGGAGGAGAGGGCGAGGAGGAAAGGAGGGAGAGGAGGGAGAGGATGGGAGGAGGGTAAAAGGGGAGGAGGGAGGAGGTGAGGGAAGGGGGCGGGGAGAGGGACAGGGCAGAGTAGCAAGCGACGCGCGCGGCTCGCATGGGGAGTTCAGCCTGAGCGAAAGGCCGACAGCCGAGCCCGAGAATCAACGGCATCCTCCTGCGTTCATCTCCCTCCTTCTCGCCCCGCTCCGCCTCCTCCCTGCCTCCTCGCCCGTTCGCCTTCCCCCCTTGCCTCCTCCCTTCCGGCAGCTGAGCAAGCTGAGGATGCAATGACAACGAGCAACTTGACAATTGAGCAAGCTGATCAGCTCGCGCGAAACAGCAGCGAGTAGCTGAGCAGCTGAGCAAGCCCCCAACAACCGAACATGCTAACAAACAAGTCCAACGGCATGCCATAGAGACCAGAGTAGGCCGAGCCAGCGCAGACATCACTCGAAAGGGGCGTTTTGGGATCGCCGCTCCACCTTCACTTCCGCCGCTCCACCTCCACTTCCACCTCGCCTTCTCCCCGTTCAATGGCAAAGCCCAAGGGTCCGAGATGCTGCCTGATTGCATTGCTGCTGGACTTTACTACGCCCTCCTCCCATGCAGGCCCAGCGATGCTGCTCCCTGGAGGCTCAAGTCGACCAAGAAAAACCCGCGCGCCCGCGGTGCGCACGTGCCGACCTTGGATCATGCCCAAGCGTGGCCGCGGGGCTCAGGCGGCTGATGCAGGCGGCGACCCCCCCCCTTCCCCCAGCTCCCCCCCTTCCCCCAGCTCGGGCTTCTCAGGGCCTTCTCGGGGTCCAAGGGGAGGGCACTCTGGGAACCCTTCCCTAGGGGGGGAGGGCATGGCAAGAATAAGTGGGGCGGTCTCTCAGGCGACAAGCTGTCTATCATGCCTAGCCAAGGCGAGCAGAAGACAGTCGGAGGCTGACGGGTAGACGACGGCGATGACAACGACCCCTCCCCTCCATCCCTGCGAAGGGTACCTCGGCATGCAGCTCGCCGTGCTGGCGTACCTGAACTCCCCCGACGTTCTGTTGTCCATAGTCTTCCTACTCTTGGCGAATCGGCGCATCAAATTCACTCACGACACGCAGTGCGTCGAATACTTCGCAGGGGTCGCTGCTGTGTGCAAGGCGTTCGCCAGTGCGGACGCGGGCCTGGAAATGCCTACTCTCGCACCCTCCCTTGATGCTGCCTTACCAACAGCCTTACCAGGCTTGCCTGGCCAAGCCCCTTTGGTCCTGCGGCCCTCTAGAGGGCCTTCTGGGTTGTTAGGCCCGCCATCTACCATGTCCCCCTACTCCCACCTCCCGCTTCTCTCCTGAGCACCTTCTCCTGCGCCCCCTCCGTGCCCTCCCCTACCTGCAATCTGCTGAGGATCATGCGGTGTACGCCTACGAGATTCTCAAGGCTCCTGTCATGAACGACATCCTGAGCGATATTGGGTTTGCCGAGGCCGTTCGGGTTGCCTTGAACACCGCGGTGGCTGGGTGCTGCGTCTTGGGGCCTGCGTGCAGCTCCTGGGTGCACTTGAGCATGGGCAGCTCCGGGAGGCGCAAGTGGAGACCCCTTGGTGATCAAAAGAAACTCTTTGTTAAGAAAGCCAACCTCATGGTGAGCCGCGTGATCTTATTGGTACGGATATTGCACAGTCGCGGGGTATTCTGGGTGTTGGAGCAACCGATGAGCTCGTTGATGGTGCATCATCCGCGTTTTCAGGAAGCCATCAAGGACCTCGGCATCCACAGCGTGCGCATCTACATGGGCAACTTCGGCGCGAAGACCGAGAAGGGCACCACCCTGTACTCCAATTGCCCAGAGGTGAAGGGGATCGGCGGGCAGAAAAGGCCCACGCACATGCACAACAACACGAAAAAGCTGGTTGACGAGTTCGTCGACGCCAGTGGATGCATTAAGGTGACTGGGAACAGCGAGCTCAAGCAGAGCCAGGCTTCCCCTTGCGCCTGCGCGTGTGGGATCTACAAGATCTGGGCGGAGAACAGGGGCACCCTTGTGCAGCGCCACCGGGGGCCCCAGAAAGCAACGCTCGACGCAGGCATGGAGGTGAATATCTTCGGCGCGCCGTCGACCCGCAAGGAGGCCTGGCACGATGCGAAGCTCGACGGCGTGGTGGCCTACCTGCAAAAGTGAGCGCTTAGGGCGCGCCTGCTGCATTGCGCGGCTTGGCCTTTTTGGCCGCGCGTTCGCCAACGTGCGCGCGCAATTCGCATACTTTCTGGGTGAAGTGGCATGGCCCATTGCATCCAACCCCCATGCATATCCCCTTTCCTCTGTCCCGAGCCCTTCTCGCTATCTCTCCCCCCTCCTCCTCTTCCCCCCTGCCTGCCCCTCTAGCCTCCTTCTTCTCTCCCCCTTCCCCCCTTCTCCTTCTGCCTCCCTCCTCCTCCTCCTCCTCCTCCTCCTCCTCCTCCTCCTACCCTCCTTCTCCTCCTCCTCCTCCTGCTCCTCCTTCCCCTCCTCCTCCTGGCAGGGTGGCCGCGGCTGGATCCGCCCCCCTTGGTTTTGGTTTTGGGCCCTGGCGTTCGCTCGTCGCCACGCTGGGCGCCCCTCGAAATCCTGGCGTGTTTTCCCTTGGCCTTCAGGGTCCTTATGGCCGGGGGAAAAACTTGACGTCGGCCCGCTCTGCCCCCGTTGGGGAGCGCCTCCGCCTCGGCAGAAGGGCCATCACGAATCTGGTCGCTTCAAGTCCCTCAGATCCCTCCTCCTTTTCCTCTTCCCCCTCCTCCTGCTGCATCGGCCCGCCCTGCCCCTGTTAGGGGGGCGCCTCCGCCTCGGCAGCAGTGCCGGCACAGATCTGTTCGCATCATCATGATCCCCCCTCCTCCTCCTCCTACTCCTCCTCCTCCTCCTCCTCCTCCTCCTCCTCCTCCTCCTCCTCCTCCCTCGTTATCAACGTTCCTCCTCCCCCTCCTGCTCCTCCTCGTCCTCGTGGGGAGGGGGGGGGGAAGCAGCGGTCGCGAGTCTTGGTGCTCACAGACACAGCTCTACACGAAAACGAAAACCAGACACATGTACGCCAGGGACCAAACCGCCTCGAGCAGGCAGCGAAATCTCCATCGGCCCGGGTTCAAAGTGCGGGGGTCGGGGCATGGCCCCGAAACGCTTTCCTGGCCCTGTTTGAGAAGGAGGATGCGGATAAGGAGAAGCGCGGGTATGAGGGAGTGGGGGTAGCAGTGAGAGGAATGGGAGCGGTGGGAGGGAGCTGGATGAGGATGGTGCGGGGCCAATGAGGAGGCATGTCAGGGCTGGTGAGGATGGACCTCCCCCCCCCCGGCCGCGCGCCGCCAGGCCCCTCCGGCTTCGCGACGTCAGGCGAGGCGTCAAGCAAGGCCTGCTGCCGCCTCCGCCCGCCGCAGGGGCTGGGTGCGCGCGAGACAGGCGATGTAGAGCCATGCGGTGGGGGCGTTGGTTAAGGAATGTGACCGCAGACCATGGAGGTTCGATGTGATGAGAGCGGTGGCCATGCCAATGGCCGATCCACCGACGTGAGACCTTGGGTTCTCTATCCAACAATTCCTTAACCAAGGCCCCCACCGTAGGGTAAAAGGGGAGGGGGTGAGAGGAGGCAGGTGGAGTAAGAGGAGTAGAGGAGTAGGGCTGAAAATGGACAAGAATTCAGAAGGGAGATGATGAGATGGAAAGAACGGGGAGTTGAGAAACGTCCGACACGATCAGAAAAGCGCCCCGACCCGATCCAACCCCCAGTCGACCCAGTCCGATCCGACCCGACCGACGCCGACGCGACGCCGAAACGATCCGATGAGAAAAAATCCCACACCCGTGAAACCGTGAAATAACCGTGAAAGTGCCGTGATAGTACGTGAGAGTTTTTGGTTTCATGGCCGAACTCAGGATCTAGATATGTTCGGTCGTTGTTGGATGTGTTCGTGAGAATTCGATCGGATTTACAGTTGGCTGAGCCCGTGCGTGACAGGATGCAGCGCCTTGCCGTGCGTGGAGGGTGAGAATTGTTGAATGCATGGCGACTCCAGCCGTTTCGGGTTAACCTATCAAGCTTACTGGCAGACCTTAGTGCTCTGCGCGATGCCGGGCACGAAGGTGAAGGTCTCGAACATCGAAACCATGATGGCCCTCGCGAAGCCGCCGCCTGCTCAGCAGCACGCGCCGCTCGCCAAGGCGGGCATCGCTGCGCGGCCGCCCACGGCAGCGCAGCCGAAGTCACAGCAGCAGCAGCATCGGGTGGCGGCCCCACCCATGGCGGCGCAGCCTCAGCAGCGGCGCGGTCCCGCCTTGGCCGCTCCCGCCGCGCATCAGATGCTTCAGCCCGCACTGCGCTCGACGCCCCCTCCGCGCCAGGCGGCCCCACGAGTGGCGGTCCCATGCGCGGGCGGGTCGCCCGCCCCGGGGCGCCCCCCGCTGCGCCCTGTGCAAGCCCGCCAGACGGTCGCGAAGCTCGCCCCCCAGCCGAAGGTCGTGCATGTCGCCCCCATGGTGCCGCTGCACGAACAGCCCGCGCACAGGTTGGCAAGCAAGACGCACCCCGATGGCGTGGTCAAGAAAGCGAGGGGCCCAATGCCCCAGCAAGCGCAAACGGCTGCCCCATCCCCTCCGGCGGCCAAGAAGAGCAGCCCTGCAACTTCGCCCACGCGACCCTTCGCGCCAGCTCAGTTCACGCACCTGCTGCGCGTTCCTGGAACGCCCAAGGCGCGGGCGTCAAATACCAGGGATCGGGGAGAGATATGGGAGGAGGAGGGGGAGGGGGATGGGGGATGTTGAGGAGGATGGGGGAGGGCGATGGAGGATGGGGGAGGGCGGGGGGGCGGGGGTGGCAGAGGTGGGACAGGAGGCGAGGAGATGGTGAGGATGATAGGTAAGGGGGGGACTAGAGAGAAGCGGATGAACCCCAAGAGCGATCAGGAGTATCAGGCCAATTGAAATGAATAGCTCGATTGGCGCAACCTTTAAGGCCGCCGCTCTGTCGCCAACTGCAACCTTTCAGGCCGCCGCCCCGTCGCCAACTGCTACCCCGCCCATTCGCCTGCGCCCGTCGCCATCGCCGACCCCAGATGGGAAAGACTCAAAGGACCCGTGCGATATCCGAATGCGCCGCTGCACAGCACTCGTTCTCAGCCACACTCCCTTCTCATCATCCCCCTTCCTCCTCGTCTTCCCCTCCTCTCCTCCTCCCCTCTGCCCATCTCCTCTCGCCGCCTGCGCCCCCCCTCTCACCCCATCCCCCCCTCCCTTTTTCTGTCAGCGCCGTAGGAGAACGTTGCGCTCAAGTTGAGCCAGATGTTCAAGGGCGCTGCCGGCGTCCACGGCCTCGAGATGGACGATGCCCTGAAGGCCACGGGCGCGCAGACTATCGTGAAAAGTGAGGCGGTCAAGCCTGAGTTCGGCGTGCCCGCGCCCGTGCGGGGGGCGGCGGCGAGCGGCAGCAGCTCTGGTTCGGTTGCTGCGGCTGCGGTTGCTGCCGTGACACAGGCAGGGGCTGAGGGGGAGGAGATGGAGGCTGAGCGCGAGGAGGAGGCGGCGGCTGGCGCCTTTGTGGACGCTGGCGCCGAGGCGGCTACCGGCGCCTTTGAGGAGGAGGCTGGCGGCGAGGAGGTGGTCAGCCCCTTTGAAGAGATGGAGGTTGGCGCTGAGGCGGATGAAGAGATGGCTGGCGGCGTGGTTGCAGAGGATGACGCCACTTATGAGGGCGGCATCGCCCCCATGGCTGAGGGCGGCGCCGAGGTTGGTGGCGCCCGCATGGAGGGGGGCGGCGACGTCGCCGCGGGCGCCCCCTGGCAGGAGGTCGAGTGCGACGCCGAGGGCAATCCCTTGCAAGAGATGGCGGGCGCCGCCCTGGATGTGGATGACGGCTCTGGCGCGGCGGCCTACATGGGCGGTGATGCGCGCCCGACCCAGGGCATCCTGCGCCGCCGCGCGCCGCCGAACGCTGCGCCCCGCCAGGCAGCGCACACCATCGTCCTGCGCCCCCAGGGCGGCCCGCAGCCAGGAGGAGCCGCGGAACTGGCGGCCGCATCTGGCCAACGCGCGCAGGGCGTCGCGCCTGCTGGGGCGATGGAGGGAGCGAGTCCGCCTGTGGCCGCAGCGCAGGACATGAAAGTTAACTCGAGCACCCACCCCGCGGCGTACGGCAGGTTCACTCGGTGGATGCAGAACCCCCGCAGGTCCCCTAAGGCGTTGGCCGAGCATGTCAAAGACAAAGCCAACTTATTCGATGTATTCGTCAACAAGGGGGAGAACGTCGATGAGATCATGGCGCGCTACGCGCGCAAGCTGATCAAGGAGATCAGGGCGAATCAGACATGGGGCTACAAGACAAAGCGCCAATTCCACGAGATGTTCCCCGACAAACCCGACTGAGGGAACAGCTGCATCAGGACTTTCAAGGAAAAAACCAATACAAGAAGCACCCGATGAACCCGTTTGACGAAGACATGTTCTTGTTCTACGTTTTTGAGGAGATGTCGGTCACGGGCTACGAGCGGCAGATGGAGGAGTTCGGCATCACCATGGACATGGTGATGGACAATGACACAATCGGCATCATGAACAACAAACTCTTCGGCCAGAACATCGGCGACACGATGCACGGTGAGAACCTCAACATGTACAACGTTGCGAACTTCGGCAATACCTCAACTGCGGGTGTGTCTAGTGCTTTTGCAGTCGTGGATGTCATCCCAAAGGCAAAGCCCAAGGGGAAAGGCAAGGCCAAGGCCAAAGCCAGGGCCAATCCGAACGAGGATCCGAACGACGAAGACTCGGAGGAGATCGACGCGCCCGTCGAAGTCGCCAAGGGCCTCATGCAGGACATTATGAAGGAATCGACAGCGGCCTTGGGCTACGCGGCGAGCCTCAATAACCTCGAGTTCAGCTCGGACTTGGTGAGCCAGATGACCGAGCACTCGAAGCGCCTCCTGGAGCATTACAACACCATCCAGCAGTTTGTGCTTGCTGAGAATCAGGAGCTTGAGCCTATCTCCCCCTCCCCCCTTCCGAACTTCCCCCTCCCTCCATCCCTGCCCCTCCCTCCTCCGCCCTCCGCCCCTCCTCCCCGCCTATCCCGTCCCCATCCCTCTCCCTCCCCATTCTCCCTCTCTCTCTCTCTCTCTCTCTCTCTCTCTCTCTCTCTCTCTCTCTCTCTCTCTCTCTCTCTC